CACGAAGTCATAAATGTATTGACAACTGGTATCCATAAATTTATTAATAAAATCACGTCTACTTGGTCACTTACGGTGATGAAATGTGTTGAAAACAAATTATAGAATGCTAGACGAAAACAGGGAGTGGTTTAGGACATTCTGTCTTTTTGAAAACGTGTATTGTTGAACTGACACCCTGTAGGACAAGAGATGGTCGAACGTGTCGCGAAACACAGAATGAAGAGACGTGTTTCCCTCTCTTACACTTTGGGAGGTAAATTTTGTTTTGATGTGCGACTTTAATAATTCACCGCGTACTTCGTTGAGGGCAGACGCGTCCGTAAGTTTAAGCAGCACACTCGCGCCTTGCCTGTCTGTACAAAACAGGGCATGCGCACAACAGAGCATCCGGTCTGATCACGACAGTCCGACGAAGACCTCGAAAGACCCAGATTGTCGCCGCAGGCGTTAAGTTACGTGGGGCAATATCAGTCTGGTTATTTCTTCTAACACACGCAGAGCTCGGCTGTTTTGAACGGGGTTACATGCTAATATTTGTGTTCGTGTCACTGAAACTTTCGCTGCTGGGCAACTCGAGGTTGCTACGGACTAATTAGCGGAGCGTCGTCCCGGAAAAGGAGTGGGGAGGGGGTATGTACCCCTACGGAATTCCAGCGTCTGCAAACTAGCGCTGGGTTCTAATGTTTGAACTGCTGAAATGCCGGTGGCATCAAATTTCGAAGGGGCGAGGGTCTGGCTTCCTTTCAGCTCCATTAACAGGAGGATTGTTTTTGTAAACACTGACATCCACCGTACGATACACACACAGGCTTCGAATGAGAGGAGTTCTTGTTCGCTGAGTTGCTAGAAATATTTTAGCCCCAAAACTGTTATGATTGACAGCTTGTAATTTGGACACGTGTAAATTTCGGGAGGGTGCGATCTGTTCCCTGTTATTTCATTTGCATTCCGAAAACTAACTTGCCATCGATGGAAGACGAGAACGTCTAAGTTTTGAGCACTGACAGATGCAACCATAAATTACTGGCGTAATTCCCGTCGAAGTCTCAATGCGAAGTGCTGGGGTGTCAGATGACGCAACTTTTTCTGATTCCAACCCCAGAACATTTTTCCATGGCGACGTGTGTTTTAAATTAAACAGTTTTGCCTCTTTGAAGAAGTCACTTTCATTTCCGCTCGAAAGTCGGATGTGTGTCCTCGTTTCTTTGCACTGTGCTGTCCTGTGTGGACACAGATCTTGAGAAAAGCTGATCCCCCGCCTAAGGAAACGCAGCAAATATATAAAAGATGCTAAGTTTCTGAAGTTTTCTGAATTGAAATATTTCAGACAGCTAATCCACAAAATCAAGACGAATAACTTTAGAATACTTTTTTTTACTTTCTGCATCGTGGTGACGTTTCGGAAGCTGGATGTACTAATAACTTAAGAATACTTTTTTTTTTACTTTCTCCATCTTGGTGACGTTTCGGAAGCTGGATGTACTTCCGTCTTCAGGTAGAAGTGTAGATGAGCACAGAATGCTTAACTGTTGGGCCTCCCGTTAAAGGATAGATGAGGAGAGAATGCTTAACTGTTGGGCCTCCCGTTTTAGTTATTATCATACATGGGCGTTCCTTTTACCTGAATATGGAAGCAGAATCCAGGCCCTTCTTTTACCTGAAGATGGAAGCAGAATTCAGCATCGAAACGTTGCAGTTTTTGTAATTTAGGTGAAGTGTAAAGCCCAATAATACTTATTATACAACGCACCATCGCGAGAACGTGTCTGACATCAAGATTAATTCTGCTCGAACTTCACAATTCGTGAAGCAAATGCAGGCTAAAACTGTGCCAAATAATCTTTTTGAGGGAAAATTTTAGTTCCAATTACGGCATTCGTAACGGTTACGTGTGAGCCCTTTCATATCAAAGATGGCTCCTTCGTTTCGCATTAATTAAGGAGGACAGATGAAAGCGGCGCTAGTCAGGCGCCTGTCAGCTCGCGAATGCTTAATTATTTGCGCGGAGAAGTCTCTCGGCTGCTGGGAACTTGTAGCATTCAAATAAGAGAGGCAAATGTCTTAATTGCTTATTGCAAATGGGCCATGGTCGTGTACCTCTGCTGCACTCTGACGGTCGAGACAAAATACGTGCTTAAAATTCTCCTTCTCCTGTCCTCCAGGGTTTACACCTTTTAATCGTCTCTGTGTCTCATTCGCTTGCAACGAAGTGCGAGTTTCGGGAATCTGTTCTTGTCCATTCCGTTCAAACGCTTTCGTCTGTAAGTCTTTCATTTTCTGAGCAAATATTTAACAAAGAAAACACTTGAAGTGAAGATACTGCATATTTTTTAACAAAATAGCCTGCGCAGTAGCCGAGGCCAAACTCTTCGTTTCTCCTACGTCACTGGCATGCGAGTAGCGGGAAAACAAACGCGTTGTACTATGTAAGCCAAAAACATTGTCGAGATGGGCGCCAAGAAAGCGAAATAAAAAGAAATTCCGCTAGGATGTGATGTTTTTTGTTTGGACAGTATATTCTTCCTAATTTGCTGCCCCTTCCACCCCTCTGCCACCCTCGCCCTTTTATTGTAACGGACGTCGAACGCACAGATTCATCCCGACTACTGCGCAAGATGAATGAAAGAGGCCACTGAGAAGACCTCGGCAAGCAGGAGCGAAACTTTTCTCTTCTTGTCCAACAGCAAAAGCGTCCGCACGTCAAATGCGTCTCGTCTTTCTGCAGCTGATACGATTCGCCGCTTCAATTGCACGCCATTTGAATGTTCATTTCGTTGGCAAAGTCGACGCTGAAGTTCGTCTGCAACAATTCCGACGAAGTTCACGTATGTCGCTTCCTCGCCCGGAACAACTCCGAGAGGTGGTAATGGAGACAAATTCAGGAGACGGGAGCTTTTGAGTGACGAAGACAAAAGACATCGCGCGGCAGGAGGAGAAGAAGACTTGTGTCCAGGACACGAGGAAACCGACGGAAGGTGCGCGTTTGGTCGCTGGGGCCGCGGGAGGGGAGGAGCTCGCGAGAAAATCTTACGCCACTGCACTTCCAAACAGAACGACAGATTTCACCCAGATGCATTCCCAGAGCCCTGATCTGCGAACTTGCTTCATTGTCTTCGGTACAGTGAGCATACTGAATAAAATCACGGCGAATCTTTGCCAAGAAGGAAGTGCCTCTGCGATGATTCACCAGAAGCCGTGAGAAGTGAACTGAGCTCCTGCGTCACATTCTGGACGTCCTGTGTTAGGATCTCGGCAAGAAGACTGTCCCTCCCGATAAGAGCAGGATAAGTGCGTCATCATTCGCGTGTTATCATGTAACCCGATGCTATGGGATTTATTCAATTACACAGTCTATAAAAAAACATAAGACTCAATTCAGCTGGGACTCAAATTGTGCTAACATGAAATAAGGTATCTTTTGTACACACTGCGAGTGTGTCTGTCAGTCAAACATCACAGAAAAGCCATTTAATTATATTTTCTTTAAAATTTGTAAGATATTCAGGTTGTAAAATCCCCCAGATCTAAAAATATTTTGTCTTTGAAAACAGCAAGAACGACAAACAGAACTTTTTCCCCCAGGTTTTTGAAAGTTATTAACAACGGGTACAAATCCTTTTGTTGTTATTTGCAATCCTTTAAAGTTGCATTAAGATCGGCAGGGTCACCTGTCTTTAATTATCTTCAATTTCTCCATTAAAAGTTATCGTTGAAAGTGTTTTATACTAATAAATCTTGAATAACAATTTTTCGCTCTTCGAAAAAACGCATTCCTCGCCAATAAATGCATTAAAATACAAAAAATGTTTTACTAGAAACAATCAGTCTAATTTCTCCGAAAGTCCGCAGTCGTAATTTGGCACTTCGTTAGTCGAGCGCTCGAAACATTCGCTTCCCTGGCTCGCAGGCTGTGGCAGGGATACTTCATAACTCACACAGTAGCGAGCCACCGACCAGCCCAGAGCATTCACCAATGCGCAGAATTCTCGCATGCACTGCAATCATTTTCTCACTGTAGCAAACATTTCCAGAATTTAATCTGCTCTTAATTTCCCCATGAATCAAATTTTGTTACTGTCACTCCAAAATATCTAAACTTTGCCACATTTTCAAAGGATTAATTAGCTAATTTTATATTACGTTTTGCCCTGCATTCTGCTGACGAGACATCAACAAAACTCAAGTTTTATCTGTGTTTATTTCCAGACCAACCTCCCTACTAGCGTCAACTAGAGCTTCTGTGTTTTCTCTATATGGCATTTATATTATTCCCCAGTAGGCGATGTGTCCCATTAAATTTCATTCCCGACTGAACTTCGTAGACCTTTCTAATGGCGTCTTCTAAATCAAAGTTGAAAAGCATTGACGATAAAGTACCTCCTTGTTTCAGACCAATTTGAACAGAAAAACGTGTCAGACAAATGTTTACCTATAGGGACTTCTACAGGTTTGGTTTAAACACATTTTAATAATCCCGGCTAATTTCGTGTGAGTGCCAAATTCAATGGAAATATTGTACAATGCTTCCCTTCTGACTAAATCATAGGCTTTACTGAAGTCTATACGAACAGCTGATGTACCGTCCCATTGTATCTTGTTTGTTCTTCTGTAGTAACTGACAAACACAAAAAATCTGATCGGTAGTTACGTCGAAACCCACGCCCATAAGCCTCACTACCATATCTCAAGGACATTTCCCCTTTAACTCACTGTTTTGGCATTTCTTTACCTTTCAATGCGTTGTTTTCTTACACAAACAACACAAATCGGTGTGTATGTCCAACTGTGTTTATCACTGCATGCAAGTTAATATTAGCATTCGCGTTTCAGCCTCAGTGTTACCTACATAATATTTACATTAGTTTAACAAAAAACAATAAGTACACGTATTTAATAGTGTCTGCCAATAACTTTCATATGTAAACGTGCATAAAATTACATTAAAATATAAGGCAAAGCGTGGCTAAGAGCTTAATTCACTAGTGGGTATCACTTACTTTAAATCTGGTACTAGCTGAGAAGGCTGAACACTGTTAAGATAATTAGCACCACATCATTAAAAATTGAAAACAATTTATGTTCACTTGCACCACAACCGTGAAAATGGACTACGTGGGATCTCGGCTGGTACCACTGACGGCCGATGACCCTCGGCTGCGTGCCCTGACGTAATCCAAACTCCCTGTCGCAGCACGTAAATGGTGCAGCACATAACCTCAAATCGAGAGCTAAGTTCTGATTGATGACGTCACAGCGGTTGCTGCCGCACACCTGTTCAGCGTAGCCAACGTGCGGGATTAACAGAACCCTTTGCATGTTTTGTTTTTCGGCTAGTGATACCAACATTTGACAACTATATTTTATTTTATTTTTAACAGCGGGTTAAACAGTGAATTTGGTGTAAAGTGCGTTGTTCATTAAGATATTTTATCTTCTTGTTATATAAAATTGTTTATAATTATATTTAACAGGACCTCTTAATTATAATTTTAACACTCCAAAGGTCTCATTTAAAAAGGTCATAATCCTGTCGTTTATCTAATTCATGCTTAGCAATTTTAAATGTATCTCTATTGTATTTTATATCACGTGTGTCGTGTAAAACTCTGCACACTGTCTGGCCTTTGTACATTTCGACACACAAAACTTTGCGTTTTAGTTTATATATACCACTCCTGTAATATTTATCGACTGATTGTCTTTTTATGGATGCATTGGATTCGTCATATCGTTGCCAGTTTAAGCGATACTTAGAATGTTTTAGTTAACATGCGAGTTTAAATATGTAAATATTCATGCAAACCATAAATCACAATATGGCGACTCTAAATTTGTGAACAGCTCCGCATACATGAAATCACAAATAATTATAATTCCTGTAATCTTCATTGGGTTGTAGTTTTGTCAATTTATTTATTTTGTGAATAAAAACCTAATTATTAGTAGTGAGAAATTCCAGTACCGATTTGGCTTAATAGTGAACCCAGGGTCGCGTCCCAGTATAAATGCAGACCCACGTAATTAATGTGATAATTCCACTGGAGATTGTGAAATGCTACATCCCTATTCCTCTACAGAATCGCTCCTTTTTTAACTAAGAACTATCCTTCCACAACTCACAATGAGTAGCCACGCTACCATAGATCGCCTTAGGCCATGGAGGGACTGGTCACGACGCATTAGGCATTAGACAAAGGCATTACAATTTCTGTCACCACTTAAACTGTGTTTTAGCTCAAACTGAGTTCATCTTTGTCGTGGTCCTCGGCTAAACCGACAGTGATCTGAGGTACTCCTCAAGTCGCTACAACATTGTATGATGTGCAGTGACGTGTAACATCAAATTCCCACTGTAAATTATTTATCATGTCAACGAAATTTAATATTTAAAATTTTTAAGTCATTTCATATTTTTATCCATTTGGTTGGAGTCTACCGTGATTGGTATCAGCTGAGTCATAATCTTTGTCATCTACAAATCGTTTGATTGATTTAATTGCTACAATTTTAATCATGATAGCTTACTATTAATCTTGATAGCTCCAGCCTATACAAAGTATTCCTAGGCAACAAGCCGTGTCAGTACTGGACAGAAGCCCGACGTTTCGATAACATTTTCCGCCTCATCATCTTCTGATTGGTTAAGGACAATTTCAATTGACAGGTATGAGGTGGCAAATCTCATTGGGTGGAAATTTATGTTGGCAAAATATATTATTTATTTCACAATAATTTTATGTAGTAAGTTTTACTGCAATTAATTCGTTCTGGGAAGCACGGATTTATGTTTACGTTTACTTGCGATAATATACACTCCATCCTTAATGGATTGTTGCTTTACATCTAGGACATCATCCTAGGCAAAGTTTTGATATTTATGTAATTTAGGATCCGGTGACACTGTCGTGAATTTTTGAGATTTGTTTGAGTCTCATATCGATACGTCGTCGGAAGTGGCTAGGAATTCGGCTGTCTTGCACATGGCTGAGTCGGGCTTGTCGAAAAATTATCTTCGCCCAATTTGAATGTGGCCTTGGATCAGCTTAATGATGTGATTCTCACCAATAAATATCGCCATTTTAACATAATATTGCCTCTTAGTTATCAATCACAGCTTTGCCTTTGTCGGCTGGTAAACTACGTTTGTTTGTGTCGTGCCTTAAGCTTGTACATAGCTTGTACATCAGAATCGTAAGCTTTATTACACGGATCCACGTCGGTTATAATATTACCGATATTATGTTTCGCTACGTATATATTTAACCGCAACGGTGGTCTAGCGGTCAGAACGCTGGGCTTCTGATCCTGGGGTCCCGGGATCGATTCCCGGTGGTGCCCGGAGTTATAACTTGTGTTGGGCAAGGCCGTGATCCATGTATCACTGAGTTTTCCTCCGGGGCTTCCCCGGTTTGTCCGTGGCAACCCAAAAATTACTCCATTTTCATCATCATTTGACACTAAGCACACAGAAGAAGGCAACGGCAAACCACTTCTGGATCATTTGCCGAGGAAACACATGAACAGGTCCCTATCAGAGGGAACTTGTTCAT